TCTTGATTTTTTTTTTTTTTTTTTTTTTTTTTTTTGGCACCGGGCTCCCCTGAACCATGCCCGTGGTTCATGCCCGGCGAGTATCTGTGCACAAGTTGCATGCCCGGGCGCCCGGTCAAACAGCCTAGGCCTTTTCTCCATTCATGCATGACATCCTTCCCCGGGCTCAGCACTAATTAATCTTCTGTGTATCGTCCCAATTTCAAACGGATCTACCGAGGGACAGACATGAGAACAGATAAAGAAGCCACACACACACACACAAAAAAAAAAAAAAAAGAGAAAAAAAAGAAAGAAAAAAGAAAAAAACAGACAAAGGGACAAACCCATAGGCAAAGAAGCAGACTGCCAGACAAGTAGATAGGAGGAGTCTTTTTTGTTTTTTTAACTTTTTTTGTTTTTTTTGTGTTTTTTGAGGCAGGATTGACAGTCATTGGAGCAGGGAAGATAGGAACCTTATGTGCAGGGGGGATTAGATTCAGTTGGGATCAGGGAGTAAGCAAACCTTTTGAATGCATCAGGACACGGTGTCTGTCCAAGTGCATTCAAAAATGTCATGAGGGAATGAGGCAGGATGCAAGAGCAGAGACACAAACAACCAGTCCAGTGCGCATCCAAGTGCATTAATTGTTTTATTTCCCCCCCACCCTTTCGGGTGTCTCGTGACCCGCGCTCAGAATAGGTAGGAGAGAAAAAAGAAAGAAGAAGGGATAAAAAAATAAATTTTAAGAAAAGAAAAAAAGAAAGAAAGAAAAAGAATAGGCAGGAAGAAACTTTAAGGAAAGAAAGAAAGGGAAAAAAAAGAGAATAAGCAGGAGCAACCAACTAGCCTAGCTCAGTTGGCACCCCCATAAACTTGAACCCGGAAGAAATCAGATGAGGAAATGCTGCAACTGTGAATTTACCCGGGGCCGTTCCGTTCCGTTCCGTTCCGTTTTACAAAGAAGAAATCCCAAGTCCGCGGCAGTTTAGGGGAAAAAAATTGGCAGGAGGAGCAGAGGGGAATCACGTGAACACATATCCGTATGCAGTGCTCATCCTGTGTACTGACATGGAGATGGTGGGACAGCACATGGAGACAGATGGGCCCTGGCAGATGGGCCGTGGCAACCCGTGGCCATGGACTTGGGAGGCGATCCTAATGGGACACAACTCCCTGCTACAGGGAACACATAGGAGGGACATATGTTCTGGCAGGGTAGGAGAACGGCCCTGAGGGTTTAATGGTGGCAGAGGTGTGCATTGGCCTGGGATGGAGCGAGGGTGGGAGGGAGGAAGAGAGGATGGGAGGGGGGAGGAGAGGATGGGAGGGGAGGAGAGCATGGAGAAGATCAAACACTAGATCCAAATGGAAATTATGTGGAGGTGGCAGTAAACAAGGCAGACCATGGACCACCTACACAAAGCAAAGGATATAGCAATGCATGTAACCCAGTTTTGCAAGGATTGGTTTGTTGGGGGGGGAGGAAGAGGGGGGGAGGAGGGGTCTTATACACATCTAGATGTGTATAAGAGACGTGTGTG